GTGACTTATAAGAAATTATCACATAACTTTCTTGATCCAAAAAAGTGTCTTATGCAATAATATTTTTGGAATCTTTAATAAAAACCATACTCACTTATGTTACAGAAGATATATAGTTGTCAAAAAAATTTAAACTTTTTAAAACATCTCTTAAAAAGGGTAAAATGATGTAAATATACATTCAAAATATTGTCCACAAATTCAAAATCCTCAAATATCTACCTTTGATACCAGAATTAATTTGGGAGCACAAACTGGTCAAAGTTGATATGAAGCTGTTCCTGATGGACAATCACTTAATGTGGATGTTACACTACCTTTCTGTGATAAAAACAATCTGAATTCTGAAATATATCCAAAGCTGCCAGATGAAAAAATTATAAACCTGGAATTTCTCTTCATTTAAAAGTGATTTTACTAGTAAATCATTAGGAGAAACAATATACATGCACGCGTGCGCACACACACACACACACACACACAGAGTCCACATATCAATTAAACTATCATTCCTTCAGGAGTATAAGACATTGCATATTTACCATAGCTTATTTCTATTTCTCACCTAAAAAGGAAGTGTTACTATCCGCAGTTTATAAATAAGAAAACTCACACCAAAAAGACATTTTGCATCATTACTAATATAAGAAATCCCAAAGTATTCTGACTTCTAAGGCTTCTTAAAATTTCAATATAGAGGGGCTAGGGAGATGGCTCAGTAGAATACGCACTTCCCTGGCAAAATTTCAATATAGATAATTTCAGACTCATATAATCTTAATCTTTTAGAAACAGTTATTTTGCAGGTGTGGTGGTGGGTGGTACATCCCAGCACTGTAGGAGGCTGAGGCAGGAGGACTTGAGTTGCAAGTTTCAGTCCAACCTGGACAACTTAGCAACTGAGACCTCATTTCAAAATAAAGTAAAAAAAAAAAAAAAAAAAAAAAAAAAAAAAACTGCTGATGGTGTAATTCAGAGTAGAAATGCTGGATTTGATTCCCAGTGCCAAAAAAAAAAGAAAGTTACTTCACAGAGAAAGTGATTAAGGTACAATCTATTTAAAAAGACTGCTTGATACTAAAATTCCTAGTCTATAAGTAACCACAAAAGTAACAAACTTAGCAATGCAGGCAAACAAATTATTTTCCCAGTAAATTTCAAACAGAACAATTTTTATTATAGTTGAAAAGGAGGGAGAAGAAACTAAGAAAATTATGCAGGTACAATACAGCTCGAGACAATTACTCCTCCATTTAGCTAACTAACATTTTCTATTTTATTATTCACTATTAAATTAATGGGGAAAAAGAAAATCCTGACACTTGTGGACCCATTTCAAAGCACAATATTTAAAAGAAGAACTTTCCTTCTTAAACTGTTATTTGCAGGCCTGAAAAAAATATATTACAAGTGTCTCTTCATTCTTCCATGAAATTCCTCAAAATTCTATTCAACACAGAGATAAGTTCTATAATAAATAGCTGTGGTAATAACTCTATTCTTCAAAATTTAGTCCATAATAAATTTTTTATAATAGCAAAAGCATTACAGCAGCGTAGAAGAAAAATTGATGTTTTATAATCATCACTGAATGCTTAAAACTTGTTCTTCTATATAAAGCATATACCATATACTTGAAATTTTTTACATCCAAGATTCAAGTGAACTGAGGAAATAACATTAATCGGGTGCTTCAAATATATCATCTCTAATATCCACACATATCATTCTCATGTTACAGATGAGAAAATTAAAAATCAGTAAATCTGAAACAATGGAGGGAGGGAGAGGAGAGAGAAGAGGGAAATAAAAAGAAAAAAAAAGAATAAAGATGTTACATATGACAAACATGAATACAATAAAACTTTAAAAAGCAAAATTGAATCCAAGGTCCCCATCTAAAAGTATAACAAACGTATTTATACAGAGATTTGAGCCCAGTTCTTTCTACTTCAACTTGCTAGAATATGCTTAACCTGGAATATTTCCTGCAAAGCAAGAATTTTTATCATGGCTATCATATTAAAATAGCCTGAAAAATTATAATTTTATATCAATTCTTTGCAGATATTGAGCAAGTTACTCAACATCTGGGTCAAAATTTTGCATATAAAACATAGATATACTTATGTTATAAGCTGAAGTGATTAAAACACATGAAGCACTTAATACATTGTCTATAACAAAAATAAACATTCTACAAGTGTTAGCTATTATGACTATAAGTCTTTAGACACCCATATTTTGTACCAGATGCCTACAGCCGGCACTTAACCTAAAGTCAAGCTTAATACTGGACTGTGATCTAATGGTGAAATTTTCTTTCTTAGAACTCTGAATTAAGAAATAACGATTGAGGCAGTTAATAGTGATCAGAATTTAGATGGCCTGGATTTTGCCCTCATCAAGGTTACCAATGACCTAAGTTACCAAATCTAGTTTGTCATTCTTTGTGAAATCACTTGGAAGCACTCACTGTACTGAGTAACCCACTTTTCTTTAAATATTCTTTTGGTTGTACTCTAATCTCTCTCTTTTTATACCTTCTCAACCTCTCTGGGAGGCAAGGAAGTATTGCAGTGATTTACGACTTCATCCCAGGCCTCTCCTCCCTTTAAGCCATTTCATCCATATCTGTGTTGGCTTTTCATCAGTATGACAAAACACCTGAGATAAACACTTAAAAGAGGAAAGATTTATTTGTTTCACAATTTCAGAGATTTCAACCCATAGTCAGATGCCCCCATTGTTTCTGGGCCTGTGCTGAGGCAAAACACATGGTGGAAAGGCAGGGTGGAGCAAACTTGCTCACCTCATGGTAGCCAGGAAGCAGGTGATCATCCCTCTCAAACCTAGCCAAATGCTTTCTCAACAGTCCCTATCTCAGTAATGACATGACCAACTATCTAGGTGCAAAAGAAAAAAAAAAAAATTAGTAGCCTTTGATACCTCCTTCTCTCTCATCTTCATATTTCACTAAATTCTTTTTATTTTATCTAAGTATTTGTCAATTCCTTTCTTCATCTCCACTGCTGCTAGCAGTTTTCCTTTGCGTCTTCTACCTTCTACCATAGCTAGAATTATTTTTCTAATGATTCTAATCATTTCATTTTCCCACTTAAAAGTCCTTAACATCTTCCCTCTGTTCTTAGGATTTCTGACCAAAACTTACCACATAGCCTACCAGAGACCAAAACTTATCACATAGCACCCTAAGATCCGGCATCACCTTACTTCCCATTGCCCCTCATGCACCCACACATGTCTCCTCCCAGGTTTTTACACATTATATCATATTTCGACCTGCCTTCAGGTATTTACACATGGACTTCCCTCTGTCTAAAACACTCTTATCTCTTCATTATCCCAATCTTTATCATATTTCTGCTAAAATGTCACCTCCAGACAATATATCATTCAGTTATTTACTTAATAATTGAGAACATTATATAACCTAGACACAGTTCTAAATATGTAAGATTGATAAAGCCCTTGTGGAGTTTACATTATAGATGAAGGAGACAGCTAATTAATAAACAAATAACAAAATTAAATACCTTCAAAGGCAATAAATGCATTGCAAAGTCCTTGAAGCCTAAGGTAAAATAACCAGGAGAAAGCATTTTCCAGTACCTACTTTGCTATCTTACATACAGTTAGCCTTTAATAAGTACTGTATTTGTTAGGAAGACCACTGAATAAAGGAATGACTATGATCAAGTTATTAGTGAGCTAAAACTATAAAATGAGTGGAAAACTATTTTGTGGAAGAAAAAGATGTTATTGAAAGAAAAGAGAAACCAAGAAGCCTCAAGAGATAATAGTCTCTTAAACCACTCCTGATAGTTTCAAGCAATTTTCATTTTCAGCCCTGTATACCCCTGCCACAATCAAACACACACACACACCAAGGCTGGAGTAGTTCAAATGGTTTGCTCTTGTAAACAATCTGTCACCCTTAATTAGGGAACATATAAAAGTTTATATGTGTATACCACTTTTACATCCCACTACCATACATATTCCAAAGTCACTGATTTTCTATGCATACTCTAGTATCATCCCTCATACTGAACTTGCAGTTCTTTGGTCTTCAGATCCTTTTAGGGATATTCTTACTCATTCCCATATACACAGAACTATAAAAACTCTTGTTTTCGTCTATAACTCTGTAATGAAACTACCAGTGATGCCTAGGTCACACTCTGCATCTTTAAGCTCAGCCATATCCATAAGAATAGGATTCTGGGTCTCCCATCCTGTCAGTTTCCCTAACCCTTAGGGACTATCTTCTAGTCCCAGAGATGTGGACATGAACCCCTTTGTGATTTCTGAATGACCTTCAAGATCCCATACACAGTAACACTCAGGCTGCAGCCTCTTCTGGTAGACTCCCTAAAGGACTAGAGTACTGGGTGTCCCTTCAAGCATTCTTGTCTTTTTAAGGACCCAGACAAAAATTTACACACTTTGTGACTAGGTATAACCCTGGGGACCCTACACTGAGCAGCTCTGTACAAAGCCCTCTTCGTGGCACTGGGTAATATTAAAGTAACACACCTTCTACAAGTATTTGCATCAGAGCCTCCACGCTGCTCCCGACCCCACCCCACACACTCCAAATCTTGCCCCTACAGGGATCCTTCTTTTGCTTCCACGGGGTTGGGTAGGCACTCTTCGTGACGCAGCCTATCCCTAAGATCAGCCCTCACACAGGCACCTCAGCATTTGGGAGCTGTGTCCCAGTCCTTCCCAAGCCCATGTTCACTGAAGTGTGTGAACACTCCCCCCACAGGCTCCAAAAGCAGGACTTCGAGGTCCCTGCTTGCCACTCTGAGGGGTACAAACCTTTGACCCCTGACCCCGAGGTCGTAACCTCACAGCGGAAAACGGCAGGGACACCTCAAAACTAGGGCCAGACCTCCTTTCCTGTCGCCTCAGGCCAAGGACAGCCTGGGCCGGTAGTCTCAGCGTTCCTTTAATCGACCGCCCCCACAGACCTGCCTCAGGCGCCGTCTGGCTCCGCTCCGCCATTTTTGTTGTCCCTTACTCTCCAGGCCCACGCGAAAACCGCGGGGCAGTGGGGAGCGGGTGATGGGATCCGCCGGCTGACAAGAGCTCCCTCAGGAAGACGCGGCAAGACGGTTGCCCGGGCAACGAGTTAGCTGCTAGCTGGCCAGCCGCCGCGTGGGGGAGGCGGTGCGTGCGTCCGAGGCCCCGCCCCCGCGACGCAGCCCCTTTCGTGGGCCTGTCTCCTTCAGCGCAGAGACCCAGCTGCTGCCCCGCAACTGAGCTACCGCGTCGGATCCACTGAGCATGCTCGGCCGCCTCCAGGCACCTGGGCCAACTCCGCTGGGATGGCCCTTTCCTGTGGCTGCGAAAGGTCCTCGTGCTGACCACAGAACCTCAATACCTAGACTTTTCTGTAGTTGGTAGAGACTTGGAACAAATTACTTGACTTCCTAGCACTTCACCACCTATCTTATTTGGTTTCATCAAGGTGTTAAATGGACTTATATATCCACCTTTATATGCATTCTGTGTACCCACACCAACCCAAACAAACAGCTATTCAACGGATTCTGCCTTCTTGCTCTTCTGTAACTGCACCAACCCTCAACTGTAAAGAGGCTTGTTTTGCATTTCTCAGAATACCTGGAATGTTCATTCTGTGCCACTATCTACTCAGACTGAATTAGAAAGTTATTCTTTCCTGACCAGCTGTCACATGACATGGCCCGCTCTGCGTTTTCTCTGTCTCAAAATGTAACAATACTTCATGCATCATTTCCTTCTGTCTTCCTCATTTGGCCAAGAACTCGATAATGCCTAGGTTGTTCTTCACCTTCAGTACCCTATAGTATAGTATTATGCATGACACAAAGTAGATACACAGTAAATATATGCTCAACAAAAAAATCCTAAATTCTTGTACATTCCTATTGGTTTTATTAAGCACTTGATTTTCTAGCAAATACCCTCCTAGGTAAAGTTTTGTCTCTCAAGCAGCTCACACAGAATAGAGCAAATGGTTTTGATAAAGGTTAACTGTACAAAGTGTTACTGAATCATAGAGATGGTGCTGGTATTGGGGATAGAGGGTAATGAGTGAAGACTTTACAAGGAAGAGGACTCCTTTTTGTCTCAGTTACTCTTCTCTGGTTGATGGGACAAATACCCGACACTCAAAATGAAGGAAGGAAAGGTTTATTTAGCTCGTAGTTACTGGAGGTTTCAGTCCATATTCACCTGGGTCCAAGGCAGAGCAGCACACAGCAGAAAGCAACTTTTTATGGCAGTGGCAAAGAGCAAGAGAGCAAGGGAGGGGTAGCAGCAGCTCAAGTAGCTAACTTCCTTTCCCTCCTTACATTGTAATGCAAATTACCTGCCCCAAACAGGTGCAGCATCCACATCCACAGTAATCAATCACAAACTCCAGTAGCTGCCCCAAGACTTCATTAGGCTTTGGGGGGACACCTAGACACAAACCATAACACCTCTTGAGCCTTGAAGAATGACAATTCGGCCAGCCAAAGGAGGATAATGTGCTTAGCAGAGGGTATTTGTGAGTCAAGAACAGAACTATGGATAATAGGAAGACAATTGCAAAAATTCAAGTATGGCTAAGCACAAATTACATAGGGAAAATTGTTGCCTCTGAAGTGGTTGCTAGATAATTAAGTAGTGACTTCGGCTGGGTTCTCAAAAAACGGAGCCTGAAGCAAAGACTTAGTAATCTGTTTGAAAGGAAACAAGTGAAAAGAAGACAGGAAAAGAGGAAAGGGGGAGAACACAAGAAAAATGTCAGTGAGTTGATGGTTCTCTCAGAGACAGCTGAACTTAATCCCACTAGAAACTCTCTAAAGAACTGCACAGAATGTATCTCTATTACTGTCCCTCTAAAAAACAAGGAGGCAAGGCCATTTATCTCCTCTTAATGGAGGATTACTCCATTGGTTGAGGATTGAGGGTTACTCTTGATCCCTAGTTTAACCTTTCTCATACTTCCTGGTTATTTTGCCCAAAACTGAGCATATTTATACCTGGAGTTTAAGAGAAAGCCTTTAGGCAGAAAGTAAGATAACAAAGTCTTTAAAGTGAGATTTTGGCAACACACATGTAATCACTCACCTAATATATGGGCCCCTTAAGAGAACTTCTACAGAAAGTTGCTTGAAAATATTCAGCAGAAATAAGATTTAACATGTGAGCAGTTTAAAATTCACAACATGAATGTACATGAACTTTTCACAAATCCTGATGACAGTAAAGACTGTGAAAGTTGTGGAAATTTTAGGGTGGGTGGGGTCCCAAAGGGCCATGGAGAACAAAGGAACTTCATTGAATATAGGGAAATGGAGGGGGAAAAAAGAAAAAATCTGGATTCAACTAAGACTCTGACCTAATTGTAACTTTATAATGTTGTACAAATCACTTAAATTTGTTTAACCTCAGTATTCTTCTCCAACAAACTGAGACAAAGGCCCTCCCTAACACAGAGTTCTTCTAACTCACATGAAGTGATTGCTGAAATTGCATTTGACAAGTATAAATCCAGTAAATAAGAAACCTGCTTAAAATATTCATTTAAACAAACATTCCATGATGCCTCTGAGCTAGGCTCTGGGAAAATGTTGAAGATAAAAGAAAAGAATAACCACTAGGACAAAAATATGCAATGTATTAATTATTGAAACTGTCCTACTAATCAGTTTTGAAACTGTCTCATTGCTATTTGTTTTTCAATAAAATTATTTTTTAAAAATAAGATAAAAGAATAAAAATAATACAATACAGAACTGTACTGTTAAATTTTTAATATTAAATAAAATGTAGGATATAGTTATTGAGTCAGATTAGCCCTAAATTCTCATAGCCACATATGGCTAGTGGCTTCCACTTTGGACAGTATATATACTGAACATTTCCATTACTACAGACAGTTGTTACACTGGATCAATAGACAAATGCCAGGTAGGCAAAGGAAATGGAATGCCTAATAACTTAGCTTGCTGAACAAACCCAACTGAATGAATGAGTTTCAGAAGACTGAGTGAATAAGAAGATTCAGTTTTTCTGTGAGTGGGATACTCCTCAGGAAGTAGCACAGGAGGGAGTATACATACTCATTCCTGCTGGAGTCCTTAGAGACTTCCCTTTTGTTCTGTGAAATAGTACAGTACAGCATGGAGAATGAGTAAGAAATGCCCCACACTGACTCACAGGCATTGGTTTCCCCAAGATACAATTCAGTCTCCCCAAGAGATCTGATTTCCCCAGGGACCTCCTGTGGCTCTATATCCATAGATACCATCTACCCACTACAAAATCAGGGCACTTTGCTTCAAACAACAGTCCCTGTAGGATTCACCCTCTTTCTCTGTAAATATTTATTAAAATGACGCTTTCCATATGCCTGGCCACTGAGTTACATGTAGGATGGAAAGAAAGAAAGTTTAAAGTCATATTTTTTACATGTGTAAGCTCATTTCATTCTCAAAGCAACATTATAAAATTGGTATTAATATCTGGTACAAAGGATAAAAGTGAGGCTCAGATTTTAAAAATCTAACACCAAATTACAATCTAAAGGTAACAGATTTAAAGCTTACTAAAATTATACTAAGAAATTCACCTATGATAGTTTGTGTAATTTTCACATCAAAATTACCATATCTTTGAAGTTTATTAATTTAAAAGAGTAAAGTAAAAATCCAGTATGCCTTTATTTCCAAACAATGCAGTAAAGGAGACAGTGACAGAATGCTCAGAAATGTACAAATAGTAAAGAGAAATGATCTTCTGATCAGGAACAAGTCACAGGACTGGAAGCCAGCAGGGTCCAGAGGGACCACTCCGCCTCTGCAGGTGTACCAGAAAGGAGCCTTGGGACAGGCAGCCAGCAGGGTCCAGCTGTCCACATGGATGGGGCTCCAAACACAAACCAATATCTCACTCTGAATTAATAGAGAAGGCAAAATCTTGCGACACACACAAAACAAGAATCTGTGACATAGGAGAGATACCTAAAAATCATACTCTTTACAGAGAGGCTCTGCCTGAAGTGATACAGCGATCTACTATCAAACTTTCACCAAAAAAAAGTATCACAGAAATCAAAATAAAGATTTCTTTCTGAAATAGAAAATGACAAAAAGGAGCAAAAGGAAATCTCAGCCTAAAGCCCACTCAAAACAAATCCAGGAGACATCAGCATAACAGAAATTGGAAACCAAATACCTGAAATCTCTGAAATAATAGTAACTGAAATAAAGCAACAACTGCAGAAAGGTATAGAGGAAATAAGATCAGAAATAATCTCACAGGGGGCTGGTGAGATGACTCAGTGGTCTAAAGCGCCTACTTAGAACAAGCTAAGCTAAGCTAAGCAAAAGCACAGCGACCGCGGTTCAATCCCCAGCACCACATGCCAGCCAGCCCCGCCCCCTGGTGGGCTGAGCTGGCCACACACACACACACACAC